TGGAATCATATGCTGGAATAGTTCAATTTCATGGCCGGAAATAACTTTAAGTCAAGTGTAATGAATAATAGAACAGAATTATTCTAACAGCCTTATCTTATCCTGCGTTTGGGTTCAGTTACTTTGTTAAAGAATATCACAGTACATTTGTTCATACGGTTGTCGAACAAAAATATCAGTTCACGAACGATATTGGCAAAAACTAGTGTCCTCTCCAGCCGTCTATTTGTTCACCATCCTTATATCTATTATAGCTATCACAATTACATAAATGTTCCATTTCCTCTTTTATATTCTCATTACATCGATTACACCTGCCGTCACTGAAGTTATTTCTAAAATAACCTTTGAGCTCAATCATGCAAGTTTTACATTTAAATGCAAAACACGAGTCGACAAATGATAATTCTTTCATATATTCCTTCAATCCGTATGTTTCAATGTTTATCATCTTCATTTTTGTTTTTTCTTTGGTTTTCATTTTATCTCTTGTTATTACACTTTTTAAAATAGCTTGTTTTACTTGTTTTTTCCAGGCTTTCTTTATTTTTATTCCTATGGATGAGAGTGATATTCCTAAATCGTAGTTGTCTAAAATTTCCGAGGTTTTATTTGCCCAATTTTTTTCTTCCTCTTTAGTCTGTTGTATGTATAGGCCTACTCTTTTTATTAATCTATTATTTTCCAAATTAACTATGAATTGCAGAAGCATGAGTTTTTTGTAATTTATCTTGTCTAATATCGGTAGAATACCTAGCTCTATTCGAAGAGCTTCTAGCGGTGTTTTACTGTGTGCTTTTAGAATTTTGCGTAAGCACTCATATTGGAAGTCTTTTAACATTTTTCCTTCTTCCTTGGTCAGGTTGGTCTAAGTTTCACTGTTATTTAATAAGGCGGGTAGTATTTTTCCGTTCGGGCTTTAATCATATCTGTATAACCTCTTTTCTCGTTTAGTAAATCTCCTAAGTATGTGTATTTATAGCATTTTTTAATTACTTGGTTACCTAGTAGTACGTCTTTCTCCATCCTATCTTTGTTTCCAAATTTAACTACCATTATATTGATTTTATTCATATTAAATTCTAACCTTTTTGATTCGGCTAAACTTGAACACGCTTGTGCTAGTTTAGCTATCGTTTTTTGGTCCTCATGCAATTCCAAGAATGTCGTCTATATATAAAAGTGGACCTATTTCTATATTATTGCCATACATGTATACTGATTTAGTTAAATTATTTATATGATCTAAAGTCATACAACATAATATGGGTCCTAAAATAGTTCCCTGGCGAACCATCTCTTTTGTTTCGAATCTCTTTGTTTCACCTACCGGTGTTTTAACGGTGATTAAT